GGAATAAATTGACAATCTTATAGTCATTAGAAAGCTGAAGTTCCATCATCCATCATACTGAAAAATTACATATTGTTTATTATAGAGACTTTAAAGATCGCCTACAATTTAAAACATCAACTGCTCATGTTAAAATTCTTTGATTTTTTTAAATTTTGATTAATTAATAAAAATACTAAACTGATTGGAATGAAAATACCACTATTAGGATGACATTCTGCCCTGATTTATGGTTATGTGTGTTTGCTGAATTATTGTTATATATTCTTGTACTTCATATCTGACTCATATAATAAAAAACAATATAATTATTTACTGATTTATATTAAATACAATATTAAATATATTCATTTATTAATGTAGTGAGAGTTATTTTAACCCATTAAATTATTATTATTACCTTTTAGTTTTCTTAAACATAAATATATCCATCCATAAGGTTGATTTTATGTGGTAGTAATAGTTATTCCAAAACTCACTATGCTAGTTGAATTAAAAGATATATATATAATCATGCATTTTCTTTTACAAGTAAAAAATATAATGTGAATTTTCTATTGATAAACAAAGCTTATTAGTAAAGAATTATTTTATTTATTAAGGAATTATACATTTGAGATGTGGATCATAGAAGTTGACCTTGTTTCCATTGTCCATGCCTCGCCAACCCAATGTAATATTATTTCTAAAAACCAAATGGTGGCTTCTTGTTTATGTTTTATTGAAATTACAAGTTCAAAATAATTTGTTGTAACATAATTAAGAACTGAAGGTATAACTTTGAACAGACCATTCTTTTCCGTTTTCTTAATAAACTATAGCCGAACTTTTGCGAGGTAATAAATTAAATCTCAAACAACGTGTGTACAAAGAATCACACTCCTTGTTTAGAAATGTCATGTGGTTTTACTAGTAGCAAATGAAAATTTCCTTCGATTTTAATAGTAAAAATTGAAATGTTTCACGAAAAAATTACATAGCTACAGCAGTAGACATGTCGATCCCGTGAAATGACGGATGACTGATATTTGAAAAAATTCCCTGACTGAATTAACTGATTTTTGCTGATCAAAAATAAATAAAATCTTTTTTAACAACGCAATGAAAGATAAAAAACTCAAAGGAACTCTTGCGAAAATACAAAAGAATGCGCAAGAAGCTGCTAAGAAAGCAGCAAGTTATGAAATATTACTTACTGAAGAGCCTGGGTAAATAATTAAAAAAATTTTTTATACCTTAAAAAACTCTATTAAACCTAAATTATTTTTTAAAAATTTAGGTATTTAGAAGTTGAAGGTTTAGAGAAAACATATAAAGTCAAACAAAAAGATATATTGAATAATGTTGATTCAAATATTGCATCAAAGGTGTGTGTGTGTGTGTGTGTGTGTGTATATTTGTAATTATTCGTCCCCCAAAATTATTGTGGTTAACCTTTTTTAATAATATAGGTATTTAATATTAATTTGCCTACATTTGGTCCATATACAATAGATTATACACGCAATGGAAGGTAAATAATTGACAAATAAATTATATATAAGTTGTACATTAATCAATTATTTACATTTTTATATTATATATTTATAAAATTCATTATAAATAATAAAAAGGTATTTGTTGATGGGAGGTAGGAAAGGACATATAGCGACATTGGATTGGCAAGGTTGGAAAACTGAGAAATATAAATGTGAATTTCATGTCAAAGAAACTGTACGAGATGTCAAGTATGTTGTGTTTTTAACATTTTTTTTTTTTATAAATTATATATTAACTAATTAATCATTTGATTATAATTATTTTATTTAATAATTTTTTGAAAAAAAAAGATGGCTACATAATGAACAATATTTTGCAGTAGCACAAAAAAAATATGTTTATATTTATGATCAGAATGGATTGGAATTACATAAACTTAAGAATCATATTGAAGTTAACAGATTAGAGTTCCTTCCATTTCATTTTTTATTAGCTACTGTGGTAAATATATGACCAACATATACTTTGTATAGTAAACAAATATATATAAGCGTGTGTGTATAATAAATTATATCTTCATTAGGGAAATGCAGGATATTTAAAGTATCAAGATACATCAACTGGTAAACTTGTAGCAGAATTGAAAACAAAACTTGGTAAATGTGATGCAATGTGTCAAAATCCATGGAATGCTATAATAAATTTAGGACATGCTAATGGTAAATTTAAAAAATTTTACATGCCAATAAGTCAAATCACTGATTTATTTTAATAATATTGTTATTATAAATATATTTGTGTGTGTAATAGGAACTGTAACACTCTGGTCACCTAATATGTCAACACCACTAGTTAGAATTTTAACACATAAGGGTCCAGTTGTATCACTCGCAGTTGATAATACTGGAAGGTAGGTTATATCAATGCATATATATATATATATGTGTGTATTTTATTAGTGTGCATACGAATATTAACCAATCTGTTTGTATATAGATATATGGCAACATCAGGATTAGATGGGCAACTGAAATTATGGGATGTAAGAACTTATAAACCATTACAACAATATTTTTGCAGAACGCCTGCTTCTTCACTTTCCATTTCACAATTAGGATTATTAAGTGTTGGTTGGGGACCTCATATTTATGTAAGTTTTTTGCTCCACTTTTGATTGTTGGGGGAATTATTTTTTTGAGGGACGATTTAAATTTAAGTATTGTTAATCAAAAAAAAAAAAGGTTTGGAAAAATGCTTTTCTAGAGAAACAAAAATCACCATATATGACTCATATTCAGGAAGGATCACAAATACAAGATGTACATTTCTGTCCATTTGAAGATGTGCTAGGATTTGGTTATTGCAACGGTGTCTCGAGTATAGTTATTCCAGGTAATTAAAGATGAGAAAATGATAACTATTGTTGATAGAAATTAAAATTAATAATTCGTTGATTGTATTATTATTATTATTTTAATTTTTAAAGGTTCTGGTGAACCTAATATTGATAGTCTGGCAATAAATCCATTTCAAACAAAAAAACAAAGACAAGAATCAGAAGTTCATAGTTTATTGGATAAGGTAAATTAGATATTTAATGCATAAAAGTTTTTTCTGCAATATAATTAATTAAAAAATAATGTATATATTTTTAAAAAATTGTAAAGATTCAACCCGAAATGATTATATTAGATCCTAATTTTGTTGCAAAAGTTGATAAAGTTTCCAAAGAAATTGTAGAAAAAGAACGTAAAGAAGAGGAGGAGGTAGTTAATTAATAATTAAATATTCATGCAAACCCAAGTAACATATGAGAGAATTAATAACATTTCTCACAACTTTTAATTTATATATAGAGGGAGGCAAAGAATAATGTACGTGATAAATCAAGTAATAGTGTTCGTAAAAAAACTAGACATAGAAGTTCATTGTTAAAAAGATATCTTCGTAAAAAACAAAAAAATGTTATTGATGAACGAAAGGTAAGTATTGAAAAAAAATTTTACTTGTATATTTTATACATTACAAAAAACAATTTAACTATTAATAGTTGTTTAAAAACGATTAATATTATATTTTATTTGTTTATATAATTTTTTCGAAAAAAAAAAAAAAGTTGAAAATTCAACAAAGAATTGAACGAGAAAAAGAAGAAAGAATAAAAAGAAAAAAGAAAAACGGTCAATTGGATGATGATATTGAGCAACGTGCTAGAACAGCTTTAGATAGATTTTCTAGCAAAAAAAGAAAATCAGGAAGTTAAAAAATTTTTTATAATCTTTATTTATATGCTGTAAAACAAGATTTAAAATTAATAAATAAATTAAAAGCATAAAGCATTATTATATTTATTTCTTTTCAAAAATATTACTATTCCAAGATAATTATTATTATTATTAGTTTAGTTTAGCATCCTATAGATTTAGAAAATTTAGTCAGAGGAACTCTTGATTGGTTAGAATTAGTCTTAGAACGAGTATTGGGATATTGTTGAATATGACTAACCCTAAGTTGAAAAAATGATTTTTTAGGTTTTGTATAAATATATTTGAAATTCCTGATTAAAAGATTTGCTCTGCTTTTTACAGATTTCCTGGGATAAATCGTTGAGGAAACCTCCAAAGTTTTTAGTATTCCTCCATTCAACATCATCAAATTATTATTATTCAATATCACATCCATATGGTCATTACCAAAACAATTTGAACCATTGATTATCAAAGTGTTTAATGGCGGATTTGAATTTCTGAGGAAATTATCTAATGATTCTGATGAGTAGGTGAATAGACCTTCCAATTTCAAAAATTTCAATTTTGTCAATTCAACCTCTGACAATAATTCATCAATATTTTGTGCTACCGAGTTGTGCCAATAATAGGATATCCAATGTCTATCTTTCAATATCACGACCTCAAGATTCAGGCAAGTCAATAAAATTTGAGTTAAAGATGCCAGATTTATATGAAAATCCAATTCAAAATGAATAAGATTGTTACAACAATGTACAGAAATGAATTTTGATATTGAAGTGAAATCAACCAAGGAGTTGTGACCTTTATAAACAAAAGTTTTCAATGATTCAAAAGTTGTTTTGTTAAATTCCTCAGCGACAGGGATTTTACCTTGTGAGGATGAGGTGTGGAAGAAAGTTGAAGGGAAACTGTCAACAAAAGAGAACTTTGACAAATTGAAAGCACTCAACTCCAATGGCCAATAAGTTATTCCTGATGATAAATAACAATTGTTGATTGTTAATTCTTTCAGATTTTTTAAATAGAGCATTGACGAAATGAAATCTTGACAATAAATATTTAGATTCCTGAGATGAATTATTGACAAGGTGTTTAATTGACTTTGTAGCGTGTTCATCAGTTTCGCATGTCTGACACCATAATTATAGAAAAGATTAATTTCATTCAAGCCAGTTTGTGACTTTATTATATTGAATATCAAATCATCACAAAAATCGGGTATGTCTTTCCCCTTCCAATGCCAACTCAACTTTAGCCTTTGTAGATTTTTTGCTCTGGTAGCTATCTCGATCAAAAATTCATCACCATGTGCACCATTCATCCATTCAAATTCCAAAAGTTTATCCAAAGATATTATATCTAAATAATTTTTGGCATAGCCAATATTATTATCATTATCATTATCATTATCATTATCATTATTATTAAGTGCAGTAATGGTAGTAATATGTGCAGATTTTGCAGGTTTTGTAGATTTTGTAGATTTTGTAGATTTTGTAGATTTTTTTAAAGCATTATTATTTTTATAGTTATTTAATAATGTTGAATTAAAATTTTCAACTAGTAAGGTATTATAAATTTCAAAAAACAATTTAGAATCTAGATCGGTAGTATCAATCGAGAGTGAATCAAATTTTGGAGATTGTATCATTAAATTTGTAGCGATATAACCAACCAATTTATTAAAAATAAATTCATTATTATCAAAAAAAGAAACTTTTGTGGTTGACCTTGTGAATTTTTTTTTGAACAAAGCAGCAATTAAAACATAATCAATTTCATGTTGTGGATTTGAATCAATGTATTTCAACCACTCGGTAATGATGACTTGTAACTCTTGAAGATCGAATCTACGAATATAAGAAATATAATTGAACAAAGGAGCTTTTGCTACCACACTGTCTAAGCCGATTGATGATGATTGAGTTAATGGTAGCAGGTGACGTTGATTTTTGTTTTGGTTGAAGACTATCGTCTTGAGAATTGTGTCCATTAGTTTTACAAAAATTCTTCTGTCGTATGTACAATGACGAAGACTATATTTTGATATTCCTATTGACTTTATAGCTAAATTTAAAGGTTGCTGCCATAAATATCTAATTGCATTCTTGCACCAGAGTCTATCAACCAAAACTCCATTATATAAAGTGTGCATGTCATCTTTTAAATATGAAAATATTTCTGAAAGACAATCACCAGGAAGTTTAACCATGACGTGTATACAATTAGAATATGTGGGGCGTGTGTGGTGTGATAGAAAGATAATATTAAATATTAAATATTATGTAACGCAAAGTTTGTTTTATTGGATAATCGAATTTCGTGGAACAATGGGTGGCAATAACGATCTACTAGTAATCAAGCAAAGGTCGCCCGTCTCACTTTCACATCCTTCTAGAAAAAATCAGAATTCTCCCTAATTTAGAGGAAACAAATAGGTAAAAAGTTGGATTAGTAACTGCACATGTATATAAGAAGTGTCTAGAAGCAATTAATAGAGAAAGACTCTGATCTTAATATGATACATACCCTCCAATTATTGACTATTACTATTAATAAAATTTAATTGCCCTCCTAATACGCTTGAATTAAGATTGATAAATAAGACCCTAACTTTGATCCAGCGGTAGAAATTTTTATGACTGGATATAACCCATGTTATAGAATGGAAAATATATTATGTCGCAACGCTTGCACCACCCAAGGTGAAAGAAATTATATTCATTCATGATAAAGCAACAAGCGCAAAAGTTGTGAGTTTCGTCGTCGTCGATGCATGGTCTGGATCCACAAGAAAATTCGTAATCTCGTAGGTGAATGACATCTAAATGGTTATGTAAAAACCATCATGTTGCTTTACTCCCCGAGTTTAAAGCACAAGACATGATTCAAAGCGGCTATAGAAACATCAGTTCACATTTGTCCATAATTCCACGAACATCCTTGGTGCGAGATGTGAGGAATACACAAGTAAAACATATGGACATTGTGAGCACAAAAAACATTTAAGATATAAACGGAGCCCAAATTATAGAAACACTTGACGACATCGGGGTTTACATTGTAGAATTTGTGCTTTTGAACTTGCATTTAGCATTTTTTTTACATTATTATATAGATGGGTTCAATATTGAGAGAGGCTAACAGTAAATTTTTTAACTTGAATAATTAATTGTTGCTTCTAAAGATAATTTTGATCCGAAAAAATTTTTTTTTACCATCATCATTGGTGTTATTATTTTCAGAACCAATAACAATTCAATGGCTTTACAGCAGTCTCAACATTTCCAAATAAAATATTTTCACAAAATAATATTTTCAATAACGTTGTTATTGTTGTTGTTAAAACACTTTCAAGAATATCAATTAAAGCAGAAGCACAAAGAGAATCTAATCCTAATCAAAAAAATTATATTTAACCAATCATCATCATATGTCATTTCTTTTTTATTGCACAACTAGCCAATTCTTTAGGTAAAACTAATTTTATGATACATTCAATATCTCTGTAATTGGTGTTTATTTATTTACCTTTCGCTAATACTAATCTATGTTGATAACCATTATCTTGACAATCCAATGTTAACCAATGAATAATATATTCACCTAATGTTAAAGGGCTTCAATTAATTGAACTCCTTTTTGATAAATAATCAATAATCCAATAAACATGCCCTTTTATTAATTTAATGAATAAGCTTAATTGGTAGGAGTTTCATTAAGAACTTTTGATAATAATAAAAATATCATTGATCCATTGGATTTAGATAGTATTAGGGTATCAAAAAGATAGGCCAGCATATATTAATATTAATAATAATATTAGAATCTAATCTCTGTAGTTATAATTAGTCATAGCTGAAATTCTAATCGATTCGGAAAATTTCTAACCCGGCTAAAAATAAAGTTGCCGGTCGTGGCTACGGTGGTTAGTCGACTAGCAATAACACTAGTATTACCATAGTTACGTTTATTACTACAATTTAGCCCTCCACGGATCGAAACTAGCTATAACCACTCGCAAAAAAAAGGTATACATTAACATTATAATTGTTCTAAAGCATACATAACAATATGTGATATTAATTTTATTTTATTACATGATTTGGTTACTTTTTTAGAACCGCCATTTTTTTCGCAACACACTGCATCAATACCAATGGACCCTTAATTGTCAGAAAAAAGAATGTGTTCAACACCAAATTTAATTATCTTCGAAATACTAATACTTAAAGATTCCTTTGAAAATTTTATATCTATTTTGATATACTAATAAACATTAAATTTATTACCGTCAAGGAATCCAAAAATTGAATCAACGGCAGGCTTATTTTGCCTTTTGCAAGTCTGATTAGTAAAAAATTCCACTATAAATATAATACATTCGGAGAAATTAAATATGCATTTAAACTTTAGTGATAGAAATGGTTTAGATTTCATCAAAATTGTGTTAACATTAACAAAACTCTTGTAGTTGGCAAACATTCGAGCTAGTTCAATGAACCAATTCCGTTCAATACAAAGTCAAAATCAATTGGTTGGATACTATAACCCACTTGATTGGAATAGAAATACATATAACTGAAAATTTCATATTTAATGTTAGCAAAGGAATGATATTAATGCTGCACAGTTTAGTCATATTATTGATAATGATTATTATTTGCGTAATTTGTTATAACCCTTCTTGTTTCCTGCTTTTAGAGGTGATGTCTATTTAATTGTATAATACATTGTATATTTATCACTTATAAATCATTTGTAATATATTCCCCAAAAGAAAATATCAATTGTACACTTTTAAATCTGATGATTTTTTAAAATTAATTTTTTTAGGAAAAATAAATTCAATGGATTCAACAATTTTAGAAAAATATTTCAATGAAAATGAAAGATTGTTAAATACAAAAGAATTTTATGATGTAAAAATATATCTTGGTGCAGAGCCAAACATTAAAGTTCATGCACATGTATCTATCATATCTGCTCATTGTTCATTTTTTTAGCAATGCATTAAGTGATGCAGTAAAAGAAAATGGTTATTATATTGTTAAGGAAGCTAATATCAGTGAAAAATGTTTCAAGCCTATTCTCAAGTAAGTTTAAATAAATTCATTGAATTTATTTATTGTTGAAAGATTTTATACACATAGTAAATAATAGTAAATATGATGAATTAGAAGCATTTCAAATAATTGATAAAAAATAAAAATAATATTATTGTATTTTACATGCACTACCTTGACAAAAGTATTTGATCACTGAAGATATTTATAAAAAAAGCCATAAACATTACGTTGCTTAGGTTTGAAGGGTATGTAGCCTTTATTTATCTAAATCAATATATAGAGAAATTTGAAAATTCAATTAGTAAAATAAATAATAAAATTTAGTACCTAGCCTAGGTGGGCACCCATTGTTAGAAATAATTTTTTTGCCCTTTCTAATGGAATTTCTCTTTCAGAGCAGTATCCAATTCTGAAGCATAATAAATTCCCTCCAAAATTCTAATGATTCACCCTCCACCTACACTAACTAAAGGGCTCAGCCCTTCCCACAAAAACCATTATCTCCCCAGCATGTTTTACCAATAGGATAAGATTTTCAATATCATAATGTCACCCATCTCTTTGCAAAACATGAGTTTGGCTGAAACATTGTAAATTGAGATCCATCACCCCATATCATTGACTTCCATTTTATAACACTCTGCTTCTTATCTCCAAACACCATTTCAAACATTTTTCTCTTTGTTTTTCAGACATGAATAAATATTAAGTTCCTACGAATTGTTTTAGTAGGAATCTCAATGCTACTTTATTTATTTCAACCTAAAATTTTGGGCCTTTCACTTTTGTTGATTTTTATCATTAAAATAACAAAGTTATTGTTAAGGATACCTGTTGCAATTAAAAAACTAGGTTGCAACCCTAATTGCACCATTTTACATGGTGTAACTATGGCTGTAGTCAGTACAGTACTATATGGAATTTTTAGCACCATAGAGACTCTTCTCATTAAAATTCCAATAGGTTAAGGCTCAAGATTCAACTATTATTAATTCTGCATATTTTACTTTTGGCATTTTAAAATTTAAATTGCTATTTGATAGTTTTCTAGATATCATTTATTATTACAAATTTTAAGTCATAAAACCGGTTTATGTACTAGTATGTCATACATAGATTGCAATATTTATTTTTGCTAATATTACAATAAAAAAATAAATATATATATATAGTACCTATCATTCATCATTTTAGAATTGCAATTTTTTCTTAAGAATAAATTAAGATGGATTCAACAATATTAGAAAAATATTTCAACGAAAATGAAAGATTATTAAATACAGAAAATTTTTATGATGTAAAAATATATCTTGGTGTAGAACCAAACATTAGAGAAGTTCATGCACATGCATCCATCATATCTGCTCATTGTTCATTTTTTAGCAATGCATTAAGTGATGCAGTAAAAGAAAATGGATATTATATTATTGAAAAAGCTAATATTAGTGAAAAATGTTTCAAGCCTATTCTCAAGTAAGTTTAAATAAATTTATTATTCATTTATTATTATTTATTTATTTATTTATTTATTAATATATAATAATAATGATAATTTATTTAATAATTTATTTATTGCTGAAAGATTCTTATACACATGTAAAATTGAATTTGAAAATTACTCTGGAGCTGAAGTATTAGAACTAACAATTGCAGCAGAACAGCTTGGAATTGAATCACTTTATGAATACATGATGAAATACTTTATTAAAAATCATGAAAATTACATAAAAGAAAATCCAGTTAAAATTTTACAATTGGTTTATGCCAACGAAAATATTAAGGAATTGAAAAATACTTATTTAGAAAAATTTTGTGATTATAGTGAGCAATTATTTGAGTCAAGTGAATTTAAATCATTGGAAAAATCAATTCTATTGGAAGTTCTTAAAAGAGATGATTTTTCAGTTGATGAAATAATTATTTGGGAAAATATTTTTAAATGGGGATTAGCAAGACATCCAGAAATCAATAACAGTGAAGTTAAAAATTGGTCACCACAAAATTTTGTTGATATGGGTAACACATTAAAAGAATTTATTCCCTTAATAAGATTCCAAGATATTTCTAAAGAGGATTTTGGTTCTAAAATTTATCCATATCAAAAGCTTTTTCCAGAGCCATTTTGGAATGACCTTGTATTTTA